GTGAAAACCAGTCTCCCCATCCGCTTTACAAAGAACACACCACTGAGGTGACAAACAAGTATTGGGTCTCTTCTTTTGGAGTAGATCACCAGTGTTAATTCTTTCCAGATAGACTTCCCAACAAAAACTACCAACCCTAAGAGGTATTGCTCTGCACTAAACCTCATCAAACAGGAAAATGAGGGAAGGTAGGACTGGTGGACTGACTTAAGACTTTGAAGAAAGAAGCACAAGAAAAAATGTCGTTGGGAAAAAGTGTCCAAATTCTATAATCCGCCCTACTGGGGTCTAAGACTACGTTATCAAGAATTGCAATAACGCTCAAAATAATGTCAAAGTCTGAGTCCCTCAAATCCCTTCTTAAACCTAAGTTCCACCCAATCCCAGAAGTGGAAGAGGACGGGGTGGTAAAAGACGAGATTGGGTCATTTTTCATATCAGAAAGAGCAAACAAAGAAGGAAACTGATCCTTTAGAGAGACACTCCCCACCCAAGTTTGTTCCCAAAATTTTATGAAGTTACCGAAATTCAAATCATACCTGATATTAGGGGAGAAAACTGGTAGCAGGTCATGACTGGCTTTCCAAGGAGAATTGCTTGTAGTCCTAGCTCTGATTCCAGCGTCCCATCCATTATGCTCCAGCCCATGAATACTTGCCACTATTCTAGCCCATAGTTTCTCCTTCTCCAAAGCGAATCTCCACAATGACTTTTCCAACAGAGTCATATTCCTTCTCCTAATATTCCCAAGCCCCAAACCACCACATGTCTTACTCCTACAAACTATCTCCCAGCTAACTCAATGATCCTTCTTTTCCTCTCCCGGTTCCCACAGGAAATCTCTCATTAACTTCTCCAATCTATTAGCAACATTCACTGGGATTTTAAACACCGACAGGAAAAAGATAGGTAAATTASCAAGCGTGGCCTTAATAAGAGCAACTCTCCCAACAAGAGAGAGGTAGTTCTTTTTTCAAGACACCAGTCTTTTTTCAAACCTATCCACCACTAAGTTCCAAAAGTTATTTCTCATAGGATTATCACCTAAAGGCAACCCTAAGTAGTTCAAAGGCCACCCTGAGACTTCACACCCCATCACTTCAGCACTCTCCCTGATCTCTCCCTCCTCCAAATTCACCCCCACAACACAGTTTTTCCCAAAGTTAACCTTCAAATTGGATATTTGCTCAAACAGCTGTATAACCGACTTCAAATTCCT